GAACTGGTTTATTCTGTCTAGTCTGTTTAGATTTTTATTTTTAACTGGAAATAGATTATTCAGTTTCCGTTTCAAGGACATATATAGATTATATGTCTAGTTTTGAACTCATTAAGACCATTGTATCAAAATACCACCGTGTTAAAAAATGAAGTACTACGTATAACTTAATTTTGTTATTTCATCCTTCAATACAACTTTATCTAATGATATGATTTTATATATCTAACTTTATCATATTGCAGTACAAAATATTAAAAGGTCTGTCGGTCTATCACGAATGGACAAATTCTTTCGTGTATATATTTTTTTCAAGAACAAAAGTTTCAATCTATTAAGTTAATCCCACATATTAGAAGTTTTGTCATATCTAATCTCTTCTGACTTTAGGCTAACATGATTCATACTTAGTCAAAAAATCACAAATGCCACATTTCAAAGAAAGTTTAGTGACCATATCTACATGGAACCGCTCCATCACAATTTGTTTGTCATTTACATTTTCACTACAATTTATACACTCTTCGATGAAATTATCCCAATATCTATTTTTTTTGTCTGTGAAGCGGGGGCACGAGTTTTATCTTAAATACTAATACTAAACTTCAAGGTCGGAAGCGGGGGCACTTGCCCCCCAGGGGCCAGGACCCCCTAGATCCTTCACTGCTTAGGAGTGTCACAATGATGCCATCAGATCACAAGGTAATTGGCTACAAAGTCAATCAAATTAAAATATAGAGTTTTACCTCTTATGCTATTACTATGCATGTTTTATACGAACCCTTTTCAAATAAGTGTGCATGAACATAAAAAAGTAATATTAAATTTAAAATCAAGCCAACAATAACCCATATACACATTAGTGTTTTGAAATCTTCATTCTCATTTATTAGTGCACATATTCTTTTTTATTAAGATAAGAACATTATCACATTCTATAAACAAATTTGCAATTTCTTTTAATATTTACTAGTTTAGTCCATGTCAAAATAATACTATCAGGGTGGAAAAACATGCCCAATCTACTACTATACGTATTGTATTATGTAACTTAAGTGTATACAGAATGTAACTTGTTGGAGAATTGAACAATTTTGTGTGTGTGTGTATGTCCAGTTAAAAATATGTCATAAACTGGACAAGTATGTGACTAGCGGGGCCTAGTTTGAGTATTGTTCTCACAAACTAAACAATGAAAAATTGATTAGTTTAACTGGACATATATACTTTTTAGATAAAAACATATTAAAAATTATAATAGTTACTTAATTAGTAATTACTATGCAATCGATCTGAGCCTAAATGTTTTGAGCTTAGACCAGACCGTATTTGAAATCAGAAACTTCAAATATCTTGGACCAAAGACCAGACAAGTATGTGACTAGCGGGGCCCAGTTTGAGTATTGTTCTCACAAATCAACACAACACGTCTTACCCATTCCAAAGACTACTTTCATGTAAACAAGCTTACCCATCTCTTGTTGTTATGAGTAATATTTTTAATCTTTTTGAGATCACTCTGAGTATTAAAATCTCTGTCCATTTTTTCAGAGCAGACCAGAATGTGCTCACCCATAATTCCATAAACATGACGAGAGATATAAATGTGTCGGGTTTGGGATTAAGACATTAATCTAAATTAAAAACTTGTTGAGAATAATATATATATCATAAACATTAATTTCAATCTAAACAATGAAAAATTGATCCTAATAGCTTAATTACTTTTTTTAAATAGTGAATATGTTTATTTTTAATATTAGGGCTATAAAAATGATATAGCAAGGGTTTATTCTGTGGTGTAACTCACATGCATTAAGATGTAACTCGCTTATATTAAGATGTAACTCGCGTACATTAAGATGTAACTCGAGCAGAAGAAGATGTAACTTCATGATATATCATCAAATGTAACTTTAAGAATTAAAATAAACAAATTCAATATCTTAAAAACCTCTAGAAACATATAAAACTGATAAAAAATTATATTATAGAAAAAGTGTGACCATATAAAAAATATTACAAAAAAGTGTGTGAATATAAAAAGTATATTACAAAAAAAGTATATGAATATAAAAAATATTACAGAAACAAAAATAGTGTATGAATATGAAATGCAATATACTTATTTTATTCGAATTAATAAACTTTTTTGTTATATATTGATAAAGAATAAAAAAATAGATTCAATTATAATTTAAGATGAAGATAAAGAAAAGTAGAATTGACAATAAATTTTTAGTATTTTAATTTGATGGAAAAAGAAAAGAGTTGAACAAAAGAAAATTAAAGAAAGAAAAGCAAAAGAAAAGGAATGAACGTTGATCAGTAATTAAGAAAGAAAATGAAAGAGCACTTGCCTAAAGTGGGATCAACACACCATGTGAAAGGTAGACCGATCCCACGGTATAATTTGTCATGTGTCACCATTTGTTATCTGACTCAAGCTAGCTAGTTAGTTCTATATATACTTCCATGTAATGAAAAACAACATTACATAATTAAAGTCATCAATCAATTGAATCAAACAAAAAGGAATTGAAATCGTATTTCAAATTTTTAGAAGTAAAGCACCGTAGTCCGTACCACGCCTTCAAAGTCAATAAATCGCTAAACACGCTGAAAAAAGTGGGGAGAATACAAAAAAGGACAAACATTACAGCTAAGTGAGATTATTTAACCTCAATCAACCACATAAGCTACTATACTTGAAAAGCTACCATCAATTTCCCATGCTATAAATTTCATAATCATTTTACGAATTCTATCTCATCCAGCCTAGCTTCCAGGTAGCAATAAATTAATATGATGAAATTATAAACACGATTTGGTTTCCACCAAAAATCATTATGACCATATATGAGATCTAACGTAAACATGCATAAGCGGCAACTGAAGAACTGAAACTTAAACCCTAATTTCTGCTACTATAAATTTGATTTTCTTAAAAATAATAATTCAATGGTGCATCCCCCCATTTTTTAGTATCAATGATTAATTCAATGGTAAGGTCGCCTTAACAATTCACTTAGAATGTTTCTACTAGGACTTATCTCAGTCTCACATCATGTCAAACCAGATCAGACCAAACTTAACCTGATCATACTTAAACTAGCTAATCAGACTTTAACAATTATAAAATACACCAAGATCAAACATTTCCAGATCAGTTCAGACCATATTAGAGCTACCATACCAGAAAATTTCAGTCCAACTAAAAATATTCTAAAAATGTCCTTTAAGTGAATAGTTTACAAGAAAATCGAGAAGTAATAAGATGCACCCTATATACCAACTTCCAACTTTTAGCTATAAAAATGTTTAAAATTAATTAAAAATGGTGACAACTCCGTTACCCATATAAAAAATGGAGTACCCTACCTATCATTCACTTGATTGGTCTACATCATTTTATCATTTTTAATTTAGATTTAAATAATTCAACTGCAACATTCTCATTGGTCCATGTGGACAAAGGTACGGTACGTTATGGGTACCATAGAATCTACCATTAAAAATTTGTATTTGGAAATATTAAATTTAGTTTTTTTATCAAAAGTTGAAAAATGCTTTTTGGGAGTGTCTCCTTTATTCAAACTAGGGGTGAACAAAAACTGACAAACCGAAACAGACCGATTGACAAGTTGAAACCGAACCGACTAAAACTGAATCGACCAAAACTGACTAATCCAACAACCACCCGATTTATGGTTTATACTTTTGGGTTAAAACCGGCCAAACTAAAATTGACACACAAAGATAGGCCAAAACGTACTAAAATCAACCGAAACCGACTCAATTTTTGTGGCCTGATTTTTCAGTTTCCCTTGTTGTAAGAGTTGATAAAAGTGACCGACTTAAAAATTGATCCAATTAAAAACTCGCCGACTAAAATCGAATTGATGCCATCAGCTCCTTGAAAATATGAAATTTAATCTTCCGATATGTGAGCACCATACCGACCACCGGGAAAACTGCCTTCCCATCGCTAACTGTCTGCCCTTCGTCTTCATCATAATCCAAAGATCAGCTCTTCTTTCTCCTCTCCAATAGCCATCCGTTTGTATTGGCGTATAATATCCTCCATTGAAGTCAAAATCTTCTGCAACTACGAAGGCTGACCTCTCGATACTCCTGCCGACTCCGAAACTCGCCGCTTCATAACTGCGTCGCGACCGCCCCTCGTCCAAGAAGACCCAGCAACAACCTCGCCTCCACAAGCCGAACGAAAATTCCACCTTGCGGCGGCCGCTCCTTAGTGAGACTGATAGCGGAATGATGCAACCCTAGCGGCGGAACGCCCTAGAGAGAGAGTTTTTCTTCTTATTTCGAGAATAAACAAAGTTTTAAATTATTAAAACATATAAGAAAAGTACTTAATTAGCATTCAATTCAACGGGTTCATATGCAACTAGAATAATGAAAATATACTCACAGCCAAATTCAATTCAAATATATATTACCTTCATCCTATTGAACATATTCAAGTTTATATTACGTACTTACGTGTGAAATAGGAAAAATAAAGATTATATGATTGAGAGTTGCGTTGAAAAAAGAGAAATAAACATAAACACAAATTATTTACTTTATATGAGCAACGATACAATTTTTGCGACAAATAAAAGTTTACCAAACAATTAAATGGAGGGAGAAATGCATTACTAGTCCCCGCCCCTACTGCTACAAAAAACATCATCAGTGGAAAGAGAGTGTTAAAGTATAAATTAGAATGATATTGAACATGGAGAGAAGGATTTTATGTTTATTTCATTGGAGGGTTAAGTCCCTATATATATCCTATAAGATTCTATACAATAATAATATCCTAGAGTATATTACTAAAATATTCTAAAGCATATTCTAAATATAAGAATATTCTAAAGCATACTCTGTATTATAAAGTATATTCTAAAGCATATTCTAATGTCTTTCACACTCCCCCTCAAGTTGGAGCATAGATATTTATCATGCCCAACTTGTTACATAAATAACCAACACGAATTCCATTTAGTGCTTTAGTGAACAAATCTCCAAGTTGCTCTTCAGTTTTCACATATCCTGTAAAGATCAATCCTTGTTGTATCTTTTCTCGAACAAAGTGACAATCAACCTTAATATGTTTTGTTCTCTCATGAAACACTGGGTTGTTGGCAATGCGTATAGAAGCTTGGTTATAACACCAGAGTTTAGTAGGCATTGGTGTCTTCAATCCGATTTCACTCAATAAATGGTTTATCCAGATTATCTCACATGCCGATTGTGTCATAGCCCGATATTCTGATTCAGCACTCGAACGAGAAACCACATTATGCTTCTTACTTTTCCAAGAATCGAGATTACCACCAACAAAGACGCAATAGCCAGATGTAGATCTTCTATCATCTTTAGATCTAGCCCAATCAGCATCTGCAAAGCATTCTATTCTCATGTGATTATGATTTTGATAAACAATACCTCGTCCTGGTGTCCCCTTCAAGTAACATAATATATGCTCTACAACATTCCAATGATCAAATGTCGGAGATGACATATATTGACTTACTATACTCACTGAGTACGCAATATCTGGACGGGTAACTGCGAGATAATTAAGCTTTCCAACCAACCTTCCATATCTTTCTGGATCTTCAAATGGCACGCCTTCATGAGTGAGCTGCACATTGGGAATCATGGGAGTACTGCTCGGTTTTGCCCCCAATTTCCCTGTTTCAGTTAGCAAGTCAAGCACATATTTACTTTGAGATAGAAATATGCCCTTCTTACTCCGCGTAACCTCAATCCCCAAGAAGTATTTCATTGAGCCCAAATCTTTTGTCTGAAATCGACTATAAAGAAAATTCTTAAGAGCCAAAATACCTGCATTATCACACCCTGTAATCACAATATCATCAACATACACCACAAGCAATATGATACCTGCTTTCGTTCGTCTGTAAAATATAGAGTGATCCGATTTGCCTTTGATCATTCCAAACCGTTCAATTGATTGACTGAATTTCCCGAACCATGCACGGGGACTCTGTTTCAAACCATAAAGAGACTTGCGAAGTCGACAAACTTTTCTATACTCCCCCTGAGCAACAAACCCCGAAGGTTGCTTGATCAATATAAACTTCCTCCTGAAGATCACCGTGCAAGAATGCATTCTTAATGTCCAACTGATGTAGGTGCCAACCATGACTTGCAGCGAGAGAAATAAGTAACCTTACAGATGTTAATTTAGCAACCGGAGAAAAAGTGTCAGAATAATCAACACCATAGGTTTGAGCATAACCCTTCGCAACTAATCGGGCTTTCAACCGAGCAACAGATCCGTCTGGGTTAACCTTAACAGCAAAGACCCACTTACATCCAATAGACTTTTTCCCTGTAGGCAAGTCTACCAAATCCCAAGTACCATTAAGATCTAAAGCATTCATTTCCTCTATCATGGCATGACTCCATTCAGGATGAGACAAAGCCTCTTTAATAGATTTGGGAACAAAAATAGAATCAATGGAAGCAATAAAAGAACATGAGGCAGGGGATAACTGACTATATGACACAAATGAAGAAATAGGATGAGTACAAGATCGGATACCTTTACGTAGTGCTATTGGGAGGTGAAGATCTGATGTAGAGACAAGATCTGATGATGGAGGTACTAGTTCAGGACATGAGATCGAAGTCGGACTAGTATCAGGATAAATAATCACAGGTGTCGCCGGTGGAGGGTGATCAGGTGCTTTGTGTCGAAGGGTGTCTACCAAGTGTACATGAGGCCTAGGGTCAGGAACAGTAACTTGTGGAATACTTGTCGAAAGTGTGGACTCGGGAATAGTCATCGTGTAAATGAGTATATCATCATTATTCTCATGAATATCTACCTTAGATGATGAAAAAGGTGTATTTTCATGAAATGATGCATCAATAGAAACAAGATACCAACTTGTACTCGGACAAAAACATCTATACCCCTTTTGGACTCTAGAATAACCCAAGAAAATACATTTTAATGATTTGGGATCTAGCTTTGTAACATCTCTAACAAAACAAGTGCAACCAAATATTTTAGGTGGGATAGGAAAAAGCTATTTGTTTGGAAATAGACAATGATAAGGAGCTTTACCATTCAAAACAGAAGATGGCATACGATTTATCAAAAAACATGCAGTAGACACGACATCGGCCCAAAACTGTTTAGGCACATTCATTTGGAATAGAAGAGCCCTTGCAGTTTCTAACAGATGTCGGTTCTTTCGTTCTGCAACCCCATTTTGAGGAGGTGTGTCAACGCATGAAGTTTGATGAATAATCCCATGCTGATGCATAAATGACTTAAATGTAACAGATAGATATTCTTGGGCATTGTCTCCTCTTAGCACCCGAACAGGAACGTTAAACTGAGTTTTAATTTTAGCACAAAAGGAAGAAAAATGAGTGAACAACTGAGATCGACGCTTCATGAAATACAGCCATGTCATACGAGAATAGTCATCAACAAAGGTAACAAAATATTTAAAACCAGCTTTAGACACAACCGGGCTAGCACCCCAAACATCAGAGTGAACAAGGTCAAATGGAGCATTTGCTCGTTTATTAACTCGAGGGCTTAAGCTAGTACGATGGCGTTTCGCAAACTGACATGACTCGCATTGTAACGAGTTCACCTTATTGAATTGAGGATTTATTTGCTTCAAAAATGGGAGAGATGGATGCCCTAATCGGTAATGAGCCTCTAACAAAGTCCCATCCTCAAGACAAGAGATACCTTTTGTGATTGATGTATCCAAAATATAAAGACCAGCTGACTCATGTCCTTTACCAATAGTCTGCTTTGTTAACAGATCCTGAAACGAACACACAATATCCAGGAAAAAATGTTAGAGAACAATTAAGAGTACGCGTGATTTTGCTGATGGAAAGCAGATTAAATGCAAAATTAGGAAGACTCAAAACAGGCGATAATGGTAATGTAGAAGTTGGGACAACAGTACCAGATCCAAGAACAGGTGAGGTAGATCTATCAGCTAAAGTGACACTAGAAGTAGGTAAATATGAATGAAATGATGAGAATAGACTAAGATTATCGGTCATATGATCTGTGGCACCTGAGTCAATGACCCATGTCAAGGATGAGGAAACAAGACATGTGTTTGAAATACCTGAATTAGCGGTTACTAAGATAGGGACAGAGGAATGCTTTAGAGATTCTTGGTAGCAAATAAATTTGGCATACTCGTCTGAAGAAATAGCAATTGATCCATCAGATGAACTGGTAGCGGAAGCAACATGAGTTTGTTGATTTCCTTGATTTTTTAAAAACAATTTCCTACATTCTTTAATCAAGTGTTTGGGCTTCTTGCAGTAATTGCATATTATTCCTCTTTCAAATTGACCCGTACAAGACATATTTTTTTTAACTCTTTTTTTCGCTTTTTTTTATGAGAATGTAATTAAGTTCAAAATTGAGATATCCAATGAAAACTTACAGCAACCCGTTTCTGGACTTGACCTTGAAGAATAAAAGATCCTGCGTATGTCGTCACAATGTCACCTATTGCTTGGGCAATTTGCTTGGGCTTTGAGTGATACTCCAGACAGAAGCCCGATTCCAGACCCAAAGAGTAAACGAAAGAGCTTGCGTATGTCCAGACCGTAGACCCGCGATGTAAGACTTGTGTATGTCTGGATACTTCAATGCCAGACCCCAATGAGCGACCAAAACTTTATGTAGAGAAAGAACGAGAGAGAAATAGTGTAACCTGGTGGTAGAGGATTTCAGGCGAGCCTGGAGAAGATTTACCGATCAAATATCCAGCCAGAAACGAGGCTTCACGCGGCGGCGCGTGCGGCAGTGACGAGTACTTTGGAGGCGCGTGTAACTCACGTGCATCGATTCGGAGCTGCGGATTTTGAAGGCTTGGTCGCCGACAACCTTCGCACCAGATTCGGAAGAGGGTGAGGTTAGATGGGTTGTTGGATACCCAGTTCTTCAGAGATGGGGGGTTCTGGAAAAGTTTCTGGAAAGAGTCTAATGTTCTGGAAAGAGTCGGAGTTTCTAGGAAGGAAGGTTCTGAGGTTCTGAGTTGGGAGGTTCTGGACTAGAGGTTCTGAGAATTCGGGACTGAACTCAGATTCTTGGAGTAAGAACGAGTCTCAAAATTAAACTCATAAAGAAGAAAACAAGGCTATGACTTAGAACAGGGAAAGAACACAGGCTGAATAATGAACTGAAATCAGCCTGAATACTGAACTGAAATCTGAAAAACTAAACTGAAATAGAAGGTTCTGATACCATGTTAAAGTATAAACTAGAATGATATTGAACATGGAGAGAATGATTTTCTGTTTATTTCATTGGAGGGTTAAGTCCCTATATATACATAACAAAGATAGAATATTCCTATGAGATTCTATACAATAATAATATCCTAGAGTATATTCCTAAAATATTCTGAAGCATATTCTAAATATAGAAGAATATTCTAAAGCATATTATAAAGTATATTCTAAAGCATATTCTAATGTCTTTCACAGAGAGCATATGAAGTATTACATTACTAACTTCCAATAATTAGATCATTTTTGACCGATAACCAGCACATGCAGCTGAGTTGATTCATTAGTGATAAATTTGGAACAATGATCAAAGTTCGAAAGCCGCAGCGGCCGTGTGGAGGTTACAGCTCCTGCGTGCTGGACTGGACCTTTGGTGCTCACGGGTATAAGGCCTACATACCATCATTGGATCGACTGAGTCATCGTGACTTACATCCTCCCAAAAATGTTGTCAGGTCAGGGTGTGAGGGGCTCCCGGGGTGGGAGATTCCACCTTTTGGAACAATCATTTTTGATTGATCTCAGGATGAAAGACATGGAAATTACGCATTTAAAAGTAATATACTTCGTACAAACAAGAGAGAATATAGGAACGTTGAGGGCCTTCAGAGATAAGTAGGGATGTCAACAGGGCGGATCGGGGACGGTTTTACATATAACTGTACCCGCCCCGTTTGATAATTCTCCCGCCCCATAACCGCCCCATTATCCAAACCATAACCGCTCCAACGGGTAACGGGTATAACCGCGGGTAACTGCATGTAATCACTTTATTACATGTGTCATTGATATTTTAATATAAAAATAATATTTTAAAAGACAAAAAATGGCATCACCTAGACGACTCTAGACTCAGACGCCACTTTAAAGTTTCACATATCTACATGACGAGAAAAAAGACAACCTAAATTAATTTGAACCTAAAAATACTTAATTTAAAAAATAATTAATCACAAAAGAATCTGATAATAATCAAACAAGACTATCAAGATCTATTATGAACTTTCAATCATACACTATAGTTAGTCAACATGTTCTTAGTTTGAAAATAGAAAAATGGTCCTAAAAATATTTTTAATCGATTCAATCAAAAAATAACTCTACTCTAACTCTATTTATTTCGATTACTATAATCCCTTCGTCCCATTTTACTTAGTCAAATTTGACTTTTCAAGTCAATGACGTCCAACTTTGACCGATTATATGTTAGTATAGAGAAAGTATTAATAATATGAAAATGACATGAAAATATTCTTTATTAAAAAATTTATCATAAAAGTATAAAATTATTAAATTTTGCATAAATATATTAGTTTAAATAATTGGTCAAAGTTTATCATATTTTACGGGAAAAGTCAAAGATGACTAAGTAAATTGGGACGAAAGGAGTACAATTTAAAATTAAAAGTTAGGTATTGAATGAAAAATTGATCGATAGAAGTGGAACTCACAATGAATATTACGAAACTCACTCTAGTTTTACAAAGAAGGCACATTACGTGGGAAGAAACGGAAATGAATGAACTCAAGAAGCGTGGAAGAAGAAACGTGAAAAGGCGAAAGGTCATTTTTAATAAATATATTTTCCTTAAAGTATTCCAGAAATTCAGGAAAGATGTTGCAAACATCAAAATACCAACTTTCAAAGTTAAAAATTAAGAAATGATCGCAAAGTACTCCCTGTTTCCCTCATATATTTATTTTTTCACTCATTTTTGATTGTTAACTCATTTATACTTAAATTTCAATTACAACTTTTACTTTTTTGAACCATTTCATTAATAACTTTGTCAAAACTAGATATGACATATAAAATGGGACAAGGATAGTAGTCATAGTACAGAGTATGTAGTATTCCCTCTTTCTCATCTTTCCTTTTAGGGTCCATCCTAATAAGATTGTGTTAAAACAAATTTGATTATCAAATTTTAAATCATTTTTACTTTATTCTTATTTTATAAATTCAATATTAAACACATAAACTATTTTTTAATAAATGGGTCACTTTTTATCTCGCATATACTAGCACATTTTCACATTATTAATGAGTCACCAATACGTAGTAAATTTTTTGTCAATTTTTATTCACAGCTCACTTCATCCTCATTCATTTTTGTCAAAATTTTACCCAGATTATTGCCCAACCCCTTCACTGTGTATATTGTTATACACTTCATACCCGCACGGGTAGCTCAGTTGGTCGAGTGGTGGGAGATTTGGAACAATGGACCAAGGTTCGAATCCCCGCAGCGACCGGGTGGAGGTCACAGAACCTGAAATAAGGCTGGATCTCTGGTACGCACGGGTGTATGGACCTACTGCCATTCTACTGATTGAGTCACCGTGACTAACCTCTCTACCATCCTGTCGGGTTGGGGTGGGGGGACTTCTGGGAAGATTCCACCTTTTGGAACAATTGTTATCCACTTCATTGTTTTTGGTGCAAAATCATGAAGGGACAGAAGACAAATAAGACACTATATGAATTGTAAATACTCGGGTCCTTAATTAACTTTACACATTCTTTTTTGGGTCGTTTCATATTAAACTTTACACTTCCTTATTTGCCTTATTTGACAAAGAAATGTACACCAAACAGTGCAAAACAGTGCCAAACAGTGTTAAACAGTATCAAACAGTGCCAACAATGTACTCTACAATAAAGTCAAATTTATTTCCTTAATATATGTGAAGTCAAAGTGTAAAGTTTAATAAGGATGAGAAGGAGTATGGAAAAGGGATGTAGAAAATGATCAACTGAAAAGACAGAGATAAAGAGAATTATCTTTTTTAAATTATGGAAGGTGTCAAATTGTAAATACAATTGAAACAAGATCTCTGTTACATCGTCCTGTTCCAATCGTAAGATGTAATGGCAAATTTGGCAATTTGATTAAAGCCCCTCAAGAAGAAGAAGACCCCAAAACACGCGCCGCCGAATTGTCCGGAAACAGAGACAAGAGCTGCGGCGGAGAGTCCCTCGGAGTAGCAGACCTCGGAGATGGATGCAAGTAAAACTTCTTCTCAGCAATAGCTCTGTCTTCTTCCGACGAATTCCCCAGCGACGGCGAAGAATTGCTGAACGGGGCGTCTTCGTTCAACGGCGTGACGGGGCTGAGGGCAAGCGACGGGAAATTGAGAATGCTCGGAGACAAGATCTCCGGCTTCCGCGGCGACGCGCTGCCGGGGATCAGCGGGCTGATCATGAACCCGTTCTTGTGGACGTTCCGCCGCTCGTACAGAGCCTTGAACCCCTGCTTCTTGGGAGGCAGCGAGAAGCCTCTGTTCCCGGCGGCGGACGGGGGCGGATCTGAAGGGGCAGAGGCGTTCTTCGATGATCCGGTGAGCATCTGGACAACCTGCTTGAAGGAGGAAGAATCTGCCTGAACAAAGGTTGTCGGGTAGGGGTTACCCGCGGCTTCAGATCTCGAGATGGCCTTCGGGGTCAACGGCGGGGGTGGATTCTGATAGAGTGGCAGGGAGGAGGACGAGCAACTTCCGCCGCTGCTGGTGACGCCGGCATTGGTTATGACGGAATCTTGCTCATTCCTTGAGGCGATCTCCATGGGAGAAGTAGAAGAAGGAGAAGAGTAGATTGGTTTAGACAAGAAGGGCCAAGCCGAGGGAGCGAGTTGTGTATTTTCTCTCTTTATTTATTTGTTTAATTTTCTTGACCCACGCTTAGTCTCCAAGCTGGCAAGCTACAGGTCTAGCTAACTAGAGATGCACTAACCTTGTCTTCTATTTATGTCAGCATTAACATAGACTCCTAGTCCTAGAGTGGACATGGACCAATTTGATCCGGATTTCTGTTCGGATCAAATCCAATTTGGTTAAGATAAATGCTTCAATTAGACTTGGTGATAACACACCTGATTTTACCAAGTTTCTTTGATAATCAGCGGTTAGCGGTTAATAATGAACGGTTAATGAATAATGTTATTGAGTTGTAAATAGCGAATTTGACCCGCTTTTGCGTTGTTTAGAAATTACGATTTCTTTTTTTGAAAAAAGTCGTTATTTTAAATTAAACCGACGTATTTTAGAAGAATCAAAGATGATTGAAGAGTAATTAATTATCAATACTAGTTTTGCTTCATGACCGATTGGTTCAATTTATGATTTAAAATGGCACTTTGAATCTAATTTCATTCTAAATTGGAAACTTCAGTGCCCGTTTGATGAACCTATTTTTCAGATTATGAGGTTTATCATCCAATTTTCATCAGCTGAATAACCTCAATTGTGTAATGATAAGAAAATGTAAAGTTGAAGTTACATTTCTTTTTTATGACTAAAGTTACCGTAGAATACCATTTTAGTTATGTTTTCATATAACTTTTTCTTTATTTTATTAAAAAATATATTTGAAGTATGTTTTTTCACAAATAAACAGAATCAATCAATTCAGTCACAACTTTGAAGAGAATATCATTGAAGAGATATGATTTCAAATTGCGGGCCACAAATTTGAAATTGAAGTCCGATTTCTATCAGAGTTAAGGACCTAGCATCATTACTTAATATCTACTCTCTCCTCTTACAAAATTCTTCAAACATACCACTACAATTTTAAAATGTTCCAAACAATTTTTTGCATTTTCCTTTTTAGAAATTTTGTGTGACTAACATTCATTTATTTTTTTCTTACTCAACCACAATTATACATTTCAACGTTATTCTCACTTTCTTAATAAACGTGTCAAGTCAAATTGAGAAGTATTTTTTAAAACGGATGAAATATTTCTTTCATTTAGATATTAGGTATGTAGCTATTTGGCAACTAGCACTGGTCATAGTAATTAATTACCTACCTATTTTGGAAGTTCCATTATTTCATTTTTGGAAAATTGTTAGTGTACATAAGTTGTACGTACACAAAACCCCCTAAACTTTTAAAATGAAAGACTTTTAAAATGGCCTTTTTAATCAATTATTACTATTAATTTACGAATTTCCAATTAAATGTGATAGAGTATATGAGTCCAGACCCCATGACCCATATACTCAGAAGACTAAGATGAGCACAACTGTCATCCAGTGAGCCCTCCATTGGTCAGATGGCACCTCATCGACCGAGCATTCCCATCCTGGCAAGGTCTCCATCGGCCGAACGTCCCCATCCTGGTAAGGTCTTCATCAGTCGGGCGTCTCCATCCTGCCAAGGTCTCCATGGCCGAACGTCCCCATCCTGGCAAGGTCTCCATTGGACGAGCGTCTCCATCGGCCGAGCATCTCCATCCTGGCAAGGTCTCCATCGACCGAGCGTCTCCGATGGATAGACGTTCGTCTCCAAGACCTTCGTCGGTCACACATCCGTCAGCCAGACGTTCGTCGTCCACAGAGAGCTCACAAAGCCAGACTTCCATACTTAGTTAATATATTCGAATGTAATCAGCCCAATAGAGATCTTATATTGTGGGCCTCCCAAGCCTAAGACTTGGGAGCCCAGTCCATATTTTCCCTATAAATACTCCCTTTGGAAGCCATGCAAAGGGTTTGAAATTCATTAATACATATCACTTCTCTCTCTAGCTCTTACTTCTCTCTAGACATATAATCTATCAAAGTGAGTTAAGTTTCAAAAGTCCAAAAATATGACCACCATTTGTTACACACCAATCTGTTACACACCAAGGAAAAAAATAGGAAAGAGTTTTTATAGGAAAGAGTTTTAATACTAACAAACAAGAAAGAGTTTCTCTAGTCGTCCACAACAACCGCCAATGTTACCACCGGTGCCGCCACAGTCACTAGCCAGCAGTCTTGCTGCACCACCGCCCTGTAACTTGCTCCGGCCATAGTGATCGCCGCTCAATGACTTGCTCCGGTCATAGTGATCGCCGCTCAGTGACTTGCTCCGACCACGGTGACTGACACTCAGTGACTTGCTCCGACCATAGTGAGCACCTTGCTCCGCCGAGTGACCTGCTCCGCCCATAGTGACTATCGCCACAATGATGCCCGATTTTCCAGTGACGCCGCCCCAGAAATAACTCAGGCCGCTGCCGCCCCTGCCCCGTCCACCGCTGTCACCCCTACCCCATCCACAACATCCACCCTTGCCCCGTCCATAGTTTGCCAGCATTAACCACCACATCCACCCAGCCCCACCGCTAGTCTATGCACCATATCCCAACCCAGCTTCCATCCCCCAGCCTCAGCCCCAATCCTCCTCTATCCCTACGCACCGGATCCAAAACCAGAGGCCCCAAATCGAGTCACCATCCATCGACAAAGGCGGATCCAACACCGAGGCCCCAAATCAAAGTCGCGGCCCATCTAGAATGACAGTTCCAGCGAATGACCATTGAGGACGACAGAGAAGGTGCTCAGTTTCTGTTGCAGCCGACGGACAAGGTGAATGACGGCGGTTGCATCAGCGAAGAAGAAATGAGAAGGAGAAGAGTTGCGGTAGGGCGGTGGCGGACTTGGAACGACAGCGGCGGAGGAAGAAAGGTAAAGGAGAATAAGAAATTGGGTCTGGGTGATCGAAGAATTGCTACAGGAAGAGGAAGATGGAATGAAGCGCAGAGACGAAATGTCCGAGAGAGGCGGATGGGTTTGGTTAATCACTTTTTTGTCCAACTTTAAATTAGTTATATTTTTTTCAACCCAAATCCTAGAAGTAATAATTTTGCAATTCTTTCTTTTAAAATTTCCCACCAACTCCTAATACAATACACCCCCTAATACGTCTATTTGTATTTTTTAAAACATCTTTTCTTTTATTAATAATTTCATCTAATAACTTTTGAGAGAGCCAGAGAGCGCACATGTGGAGGATTGATCTATTGTTTTATCTTATGATCCCTCTTTCTATATTAAATATACTTAGGATGTTTATACTTGAACAGAAATTTGATTGTCTGTTCTATTTAAATCTGGTCTGGTCCGAACTGGTCTGGTATGATAAACGTCTGGTCTTTGTGTATTTTATAACTAAATAATTTAGATCTGATCTGTTTAAGTCTGGCCTAGTCTGTTTAAGTAAAACATCCTTATTACTAAGAATTACTAAAAAGACAAATAAATAATTGTTTCTCATGTTGATTTTTTTGATCATCAACTCCAACAAATATATTAACTCAACAAAACGTTCGTCGCATGGCTGATAATACAATCAAAGAAAAAGCAGGAAACAAAACGATAAAAAGTCTTCTGTCTGATGTCCGCCCTTGAACCAGACTTAGAATCTATCACCTCTGTAGAAGCAATAACATTTGTTGATCCTGTAATGAGCTTAACTGAGCCAATGACAGGCAAACCAGACGTTTCATCACCTGGTTTAAAATCTAGAATCTCTCTGCTAGGAAATAAAAACACGTCCAAAACAACATGCAATTCCAAAGAAAAACACAAACAAAAAAAACGGAATTAAAATAAAGTTTACTTATCTTCTTCCAAACCCGTAGACTCGTTTGCACTCCATGGCGGCGGCTCGGGAGGGGGACGCGCCCGCTGCTCATCCATCTCGTCAAGCCTCCACTTTCGCCACCAATCACAGATGACCTTGAATCCAGATCTGTTCCAGCTTTTAACCCTAAGCTTCGTCCATGACCTTCACTCGATGATGTCATCCTTTCACCATTGCTGACTGTGTTCCTTGTTCGCACAAAAAAAAATCGCCGCAGGAGAAAACCCCGAATCAAAATACCGCCCAATCTATTAGATCGATCGACGGAAGAACTAAAACCCTAACTAGAGGGACAATGGCCACTGTTGCCTTAATTATGAAGTCGGACGAAGGGAAGAAAACGAGCCTAACCAGTTGGCAATCATCCCCCAAGCAGCGCGGCGGCTAGGACTTCGGCATTCCACGTGTCTCATGTTGATTTTAGAAAGTAGACTTAATTATAGGAATTTAATACTTTTGCATTTAATGTTTCAATTTGAGTTAGAGGTTTTTAATAAGGTGACAACTCCGTTACCCATTTTAAAAATGGGGTACCATACCTACCACTCACTTGATTGGTTTAAATCATTACATCATTTTTAATTTAGATTTAAATAATTCAACTACATCATTCTTATTGGTCCATGTGGACAAAGGTATGGCACCTTAAGGGTACCATAGAATCTACCTTTTAATAATTGTTTTTACAATTTTGTCATCATTTTAATCCATATGTATTAGTTAAATTTCATCTCTCAAAGAACTTACTCCCTCCGGTCCCAAATGAAATTCACACTTTCCGTTTTGAGTAGGTCAAAATAAACTTCACACTTCTACTTCCTTCCTTATTTGACAAATTATCTACATCAAAACAGTGCAAAACAATGCAAAACAGTGTCAAACAGTGCCAACAGTGTCAAACAGTGTCAAACGGTGTCACAACAGTGTACTCTACAGTAAAGTCAAATTTATTTCCTTAATTTATGTGAAGTTAGTCTGAATTTCATTTGGACCCGGAGGGAGTATTAATTAGATGCTTGCACTTTTTTTACAATGATTTCAACATGGTATGGTGTGGTATGACATCGAAATGGGACGTACAAAATGACTTTAGGTTACCTCACATACTGATACCATACTTAGTCCATACTATTTCAAATCACATGGTCTATGATAGGTTTGAATACTATCATGGACCGTGCCCACCCCTAAAATTAGATCGATCATTTGAGCTCAATTTTGCACGAAATCGAGCAAGTACAATTATTTTTAGAGAAAATTCTCTTTAAATGAATAAAATATAAACAAACTACACAAACTACATTACCATCAATATTTTCTTCGTAAAATATGATTTATCCACTCTTACTTGGGAATGCTCTATGTTTCGATCAATAGGATTAAATAAATCTTATTTTGAGAATAAAATATAAGTAGTCATATTTATGAACTTTTTATGTTTTAGTACTATTTTTACTTATTTTTATATAGCTCTATCCGAACTTAAGGCATTACACCCATCCAAATTTGATGGGTGTCAAGTTTCTTGTTTGAAGCATGCACTTGTAATTTTTCAAGTTGCCATTCTGAGAATCTGAGGCAGTGCCAATGCCTCAATCATATACTAGTATGTTCTTAATCTAAGCAAGCTAAGGTTATGTTTGGCAGGCATAAGTCCTGCCTTCTAGCTTTTGTACTATTTAAAAAGTCTTTAAAAACTTCTAGTTGTATGCTTGTCATGTCAATTTTTAATAGCTTTTACAAAAATAAAAGTTTTTTCTTGAAATGCTACAGTGAGTAGCATCTCACATAAGTCCGTAGTTTCTAGTATTAATTAGTCTTAACAACTTGTATACTAAATAGAGCTAAATTAAACAGTAAGGGCCTGTTTACTAACAAAGATATTTTCCTGTTTTCTACTTCTGTTTTTCGTTCTCCAATTCTCTGTTTTTATTTTCCAGTTTTTCTATCTCCAGTTTTCTGTTTCTATTTTCTAGTTTTCCATTTTCAAATCTGAAAACATGTTCATCAATTTTTTCACTCAGTTCTGTGATCATCCAGAAGACTGACAATTTACTTCACATGTTACTAAATGGGGCTTATTAAGACTCGCGTTAATAAGCAACGCATAAAATAAGCAATGTTATAAGATAATGTTTACTTCAAAAGGTTTAAAACACCGTTTAACATTAAAATGTCCAAAATAACCCTATACATATCGGGGTGGGGCCGAGGTAGGGAGTTGGGATAGGATGGAGGTAGTGTGGGGTCGAGATCAGGGTGAGGCCGAGGTAGGGTGCGGGATAGGATGGTGGTGGGGGTAGGATGGCAGTAGGGTGGGTGGGGGTAGGATGGTGGTGGGGGTAGGATGGAAGTAGGGTGGGTGGGGGTAGGATGGCGGTACGAGGGTGGGGGTAGGATGGCGGTATGAGGGTGGGGGTAGCGGTAGGGTAGGGCCGAGGTAAGCGGCATGTGGGAAGGGGTAAGGTAGGGGTAAGGGGTAATATACGAGGTGGGGGTGGGGTTGAGGTGGTAGGGGGGTGGCGGTAGGGTAGGGTGGATCGGGGTGGGACCGATGTAGGGGCATGTGGTAGAGGGTGGGGGTAGGGTCATTGTAGGGAAAATGGGTATGCCGGATGGGGTTGTGTGGGTAGGGTAGGGTAGGGGTAAGGTATGAGGATGAATATACTAGAATGGAATCGACATCGGAGCGGGACCGGACCCACCACTAGGTGTAAGTATGCAAATTCATTGCAGCGGTCTGTAGCATCCGTGTTTTCCAAATTTGGAAAACTAGTTAAAGTCACTTCTTCAAATCATAAAGGAAAAGAGAGACATGTCTCATTTTTTTCGTTTTGGAAAACTGTTTGGTAAACGCGTTTTTCTATTTTCCTTTCTCCAGTTTTCCAGCAATTTTCTTTGGTAAACACGTTTCCTGTTTTCTATTTTCTAGTTTTCCATTTTTCGGGAAAACTGGAAAATATCTCTATTAGTAAATAAGCCCTTAGGGCCTGTTTACTAACAGAGATTTTTTCCTGTTTTCTACTTCTGTTTTTCGTTCTCCAATTTTCTGTTTTTAGTTTTTAGTTTTTCTATCTCCAGTTTTCTGTTTCTATTTTCTAGTTTTCCATTTTCAAATCTGAAAACATGTTCATCAATTTTTTCACTCAGTTCTGTGATCATCCAGAAGACTGACACGCTTACTTCACGGATTACTAAATGATGCTTATTAAGATTTGCGTTAATAAGCGACGCATAAAATAAACAATGTTATAAGATCAAGTTTACTTCAAAATGTTTAAAACCTCATCTAACATTAAAATGTCCAAAATAACCCTATACATATATAAACACACACGCATTCATGAACACAAATATATAATATAATATTTGGGTCGATCACCTCGTACGTGTACGCATACTCCTAACTCCTACCCTGCCCCTATACCTCGTACCCCCACTTTACACCCTACACCCAATTCCACACCACTGACCCCTACCCCTACCCTTACCACGATCTTACACTCTACCCATACTCCCCTAAAACCCTTCATACCCACCCATACCTACTCGTAGGGGTCAGGGTAGGGAAGGAAGGTATGGGTTGGGGGTGGGTGGGGTAAGGGGTATGTCGAGGGTGGGAAGGTACGGTCTAGGGGTACGTGGTTGGGTGGTGTAGTGGGTGGGTTAGGGTGGTGGTTAGGGGTAAGGTGGGGGTAGTGAGTAGGGTTGGGGTTAGGGGTAAGGTAGGGGTAGGGTAGGGAGTTGGGATAGGATGACAGTAGGGTGGGGCCGGGATCAGGGTGGGGCCGAGGTAGGGGAAGGGGTAGGGTGGGGGTAGGATGGTGGTGGGGGTAGGATGGCAGTAGGGTGGGGGTAGGATGGCGGTACGAGGGTGGGGGTAGGATGGCAGTAGGGTGGGGCTGAGGTAGGGGCATGTGGGAAGGGGTAAGGTAGGGGTAAGGGGTAATATACGAGGTGGGTGTAGGGTAGGGTGGGTCAGGGTGGAGTTGAGGTGGTAAGGGGTGGCGGTAGGGTAGGGTGGATTGGGGTGGGACCGAGGTAGGGACATGTGGTAGGGGGTGGGGGTAGGGTCATTGTAGGGAAAAAGGATATGCGGGAGTGAGGGTTGGGTGGGTAGGGTAGGGTAGGGTAGGGGTAAGGGGTAAGGTATGAGCATGGAGGTACTAGAATGGAATCAGCATCAAAGCGGGACCGAACTCACCCTAGGTGTAAGTATGCAAATTCATTGCAGCGGCCTGTAGCATCTGCGTTTTCCAAATTTGGAAAACTAGTAAAAGTTACTTTTCCAAATCATTAAGGAAAAGAAAGACATGTCTCATTTTTTTCGTTTTGGAAAACGATTTGGTAAACACGTTTTTCTGTTTTTTTCTCTCTAGTTTTCCAACAATTTTCTTTGGTAAACACGTTTCCTGTTTTCTGTTTTCTAGTTTTTCCAGTTTTCTGAAAAAGTGGAAAATATCTCTGTTAGTAAACATGCCCTTAGTTTTTTACCAAACATGTACTGCATTTTCTTTTTAAGATCTTTTCAGTCACTAAAAACTAACAGTTACTAAAAAGTTCATAAAAATATCTTTTCATCTAGCTGTGCCAAACATACCCCTAAGACACCCGTTCTAAAATTAAATTCAACATCCATTCATACACAAAAATTTAGAAATGAAATTTTCTGCGTGATACACATTGATGCAATCTGAACTATAATGTGAAATAAAGTTAAAGTTTTTCATTGATGAAGTGATCGACAAAATAAGAACCATTATCATGAAATAAGAATTTGATGGTCGCCGACTCACTCTCCCTTACGGGAGGTCTCGGGTTCGAAACTCAATGAAGTGAGTTTCGGCTTAGATTACTCCAGACTCCCCCGACCCCTCCCGTAGATGCCCCTGGAGTAAAAACAAGAACTTGACAATATTATTGTGGATGCTCCAATTACCAGTGGTAAGTATCAAATATGTACTTGCATATATACGATAGTATAATATTAATTGGTTGCAAGTATCAATCACCTTGGTCCAAAAGGTTGAATGCCCAACCTCAAGGCCCCCCACCCCGACCCGACATGATGGTGTGAAGGTTAATCACGGTGACTCAGTCAGCAAAGCGGCGGTAGGCCTTATACACGTGCGCACTAGAGGTCCAGCCTTATTTCAGATTCTGTAACCTCCATACGGTCGCTGCGGGTTTCGAACCTTGGTCACTTGGTCCAATTTTCCCACCACAACGACCAACTGAGCTACCCGTGCCGGTGCAAGTATCAATTACCACGTATACTTGCAAGTATCAATTACCACGTTTGCACATTTGTTGCATATTAACTATCATTTGAACAAGAGTCCTAAATTGTTACACTTACTGCTACACTATATTTCTCATTTTGACATTGTAATATTAACGTAATAATGCCACAATATTATCATGGCAAAGATAACATATCGAAAGAGGATTTTAGATCCAAATCATATTGATCGAACATGGAATACAAAAACACGACAGAAATTAAATAACGTTTAAAGAACACAATGTTGGGAATAATGTATTGAAATCATTTACTTTCAATCTTGCGTATATGTGTAGAGATCATTTGATGGTAAACATAACATGCAATAATTAATTGTATCGTCCACCGCATCGGGTGAACTTGCTGCATCCACGGGTGTATGGGCGGACGGGAGCGTGCTTTTGGCAGTTGTAGTAGGAAGGGCCGCGGCGGTTGCAAGGAATGCTGTCCTTATTCATGGCGACGTAAGATATGTATCTGCTCTGTGACAGAACCCTCCTTGAAGACTCCGACTCCATCAGCATCTCCTCACCGTCCTCGATGAGGCCGCCACCGCTTGAGGCGGGGAATGACATGGCGTCCATGTAAGTGGAGGCATCCACCACCAGGGAGAGAGCCACGTTGGAGAGGAGGAGGAGGAGAGCGAGATGGACTTTCTTGGTTTCCATCCTAGCTATTATTATAGAATGTGTTTTGATCTGAGAAGAGTTGGAGTTTTCTTTGCCTTCCCTTTTATAGTGGAAATGTAGGATGGGGAAACGTATGGCGAATCCAAAGAGGAGATATTGAAGATTGTCACTTATAGTTGTATGGTTATGCGACTTTACGTAATTTACGTTAAAAATATACGGAATACAAGTTTACGACCATTTGTTGTTCCATATTTTTCTATGGATCTAAATTCTCAAGGAATATCCAATATGGCTACGGAGTATATAAAATACTTTTGAATACTCTTCCATCATCTTTCTACTACCTTGGTCTAATTATTATGGAGGAATTTCCCAAATGAGACTAAATGAAAATTTATTTGCCAAAATAGGACTATAAATTCAAAATTTCTTAAATAAGACTAGCTTTTCAATTCTACCCTTGCTTTGTTTAAATACAATTCATATTTCATTTATAATATAAATTTACTTATAATAAAAACGAACAAAATAAAACACAAAAAATAAATATTAAATAAATTAATAAAAATAAAAAATTAGATAAATTCAAAATTATATAAAAAAAACTAAAGTAAAAAATAAAACGTAAAAAATATAAAAAAAATATGCAGGCCTCTACTGCCGCCTCAACAACCTCCCAACACCACTAGCTCCGACCACCCGAAAAAAATGCCAACATGGGTCAGAAATGTCATCTTGATGTGATCAGTTTTTCGAGAAAATTTTGATATTTTCAAAGACTAAAAATGCCATCTTCATGACATTGTTGGGCGGCGTCCGAGGCCGCGCGAAAGGCCTCCATATTTTTTCTTTTATTACGCTTTTTTACAAGTTAAAATATTTTTTATTAAAACTTAAAATATGATTACCTTTTAAGTTATGGTAAGTGTACAATAAGAAGATAGAACATACTTTAGTCCTATTTTGGGAAGATAAATGACATATTCTTATTTGGGCATTTAGAGATTAATTTAGTCCTATTTAGGGCTACTATAGTACTATCTCTATTATTCATCTAATTCCAACTTCATTAGATTTGTCCAATACCAAATTAGTAATACTTGTATGGGTGAATTTCATACCTGTTCACGGGTTTCCGTATCAACCTCAATCTAGGGGTGGACTCGGGCCGGGCCAACCGGCCCGGAACCGGACCGGCCCGCCACTGTGCGGGCCCGGACCGGCCCGGGAACCGGTTCGTTGGGCGGTTCGGGCCACCCGGCCCGGTGGATTCTCGGTTCGGGCTCGGGCCCTTCAAAAGGTGAACCGGTCCGGCCGGTTCGGGCCCGGGCCGGGCCAATTTTAATTTTTTTTTTTGATTTTTTTTGAGTTTTTGGGTTGGGCTGGTTATTTTGGGCCATTTGAGGTGGTTAGGGTTGGTTTGGGGTGAGGGGGAGGGGTGGGGGTTAACTAGGAAAAGCCCAAAAAAAAAAATATACCCGAGGCCCGGCCCGGACCCGGGGGTTACCCGGGCCGGTTCCGGGCCTCCCCTTCTTGAACCGAGGCCCGGCCGGGCCCGAACCGGCCCGAGTCCACTCCTACCTCAATCCTCATAGTTCCAATATATTTAATGTATATTTTTTTTGAAAGGATATCTTTAATGTGTGTTAGTTTTTTCATCATTTGCGATGAAGCTAAAGACTTACTATTTTTTGTGTTGGCTTGAGAGTACGATGGAATAAAGCAAAATAGCTTATTGAACTGTTTGCGCTTCTTTGTTATGAAACGGCAGTCAGCAATGAGTCATTCAGAAGCAGACTCGCTGTGCTTTAGTACAGGGGTAAGACCAAGGCCGGCCCAGACATTGTGTAGGCTGTCCAACCACACAGGGCCCAAAAAATTGAAAGGACCCAATTTTTTTTTGTAGTAGTATTCAGGACAGGCCCAAAGAAATTGAAAACCCAAAAAATAGTATTATTAATATAGTTATAACAAAATAACAATTGTTCTAACATGCGTAAAGAACACAGCCAAGGCAGGCATAAGTATGACTAGTACTTCGTATAGGCATTCGAATAGGAGAAGGTTTATTTATACAGTAATAGTGCTAAGGAATTCTTCTCCTTGGCCGGTGTGGGAAATTGAATAGGGGATCGACTGAAAAAATGCTTATATTTTCATACAAAGCAAAATCTATGTTTGCTTCCTACGAAACGTTATAATCTTTGAAATAAACTATTCCAAATACGGCAGATACACTGCACAATTTTAAATAAATTATTACTCTTTGAAATAATTACAATTTTATAACAAAAATAAATGATATTTATAAAAAATGTGACTTTTTAAATATAGTGATTATTATAATTTAGTCATAGTAACATATATTCAATTTTAAGAATTAAGTGGTCATGACATTATACTCGTAACTTTAGTCAAAATTTTATAGCATGTTTTATATCATTAATATTTTTGAAAAAATCTCTTGTTATTATTATTATATAATTTCATTATCATGAGTACCATAATCATCAGTTTTTTTATTATTCAACTACTTTTTCAAACTCTAGTTTTTGTCTAATAGTCAAATACTCAAATTTATATTTGTCATATTTAATATTTTATATGCCCTGCCTAGACTTAAATGGCTTAAGACTTAGTCATGCCGCATTGACATGCCTTGTGCTTTTTACAACATTGATTACAACTCATTGAAATTTTTCTCAAAGAAATGAGTATGGATTTTAAAATCAAGTGTAATTTGTTAACAAATACTTTTATTTTGACTGCTTTGTTTATTAATAATCCATAATTTGACATAATGTAATTGTTATTTATTATTTTTAGAGTGCAAAATATATTATATTTTTTACTAAAAGAGCCAGTTTTCACCGTTGCACAGGGTCCGTGTCTGGTTAGACTGCGTACATCCGACCCCCTCTTACCCCATCATAGGTGGAAGCCTTTGGCCTTTGGGGCACAGGAGTTATGATGATGATCTTTAATGTATGTTAGTTACTTACGTTTCTAGCTAGTCACATTTGAATAAGTATCAGTAGTTCAATCTTACACATTTGAAATTACATTAAACGTTCTGTTGAATCACATGCAAAAACTAAATAAAAGATTATAAAAATGCGACAACAGATTACTATTCGCTTCAAATAATAAGATATGTGAGCCTTACCCAGCAACACGTCAGCAGTAGATAGAAACAGCATTAACAGCATCCCACATTATTGCATCTTCAACCTCGATAAACCCAGCAACTCAGCACCACTTGTACATAGAACTTCATAGTGAACTATTTCAGTGTCACTTTTATTGTACCATCCCTTCCATGCACACACTGCATTTGGAAAGGGTAAATCGTTGGAATCCATGTTACTATTTGTCGAAATACAAATCGTTGGAGCACCTAGTTCAGAGGCGAGGAGAATGCTTGATGCCTCTCGGTGCAAGAAGGTATTCATATACACCAATGCCCCGTTTTCTTCCCAGCCTGCCTGCGTCAACATATTGCACAAGGAGAGGGCACGGAGCATATTTAGTGTCCCCCAGACCAGTATGCAGTACTTTTAAAATCGCCAAGCAAACATCTAACCCTATAAAATCTGCTAGTTCCAGAGGACCCATTGGATGGTTAGTCCCGAGTTTCATCCCTGTATCGATGTCTTCTTTTGTTGCAACTCCATTGTAAAGTGTATAAAATGCTTCATTTATCATTGGCATCAAGATTCTATTTACAATAAAGCCCGCATAATCCTTGGAGCAAACAACTGTCTTGCCAAACCTGCAGAAGCCAATGATCATTTGAATGCAGTTTAAAGAATGACTAATAATCATATCCAAGCTAATGCTGCTATCGAACCACTATCAAGTGAAGCCATGAAGGATTTGTTCTTCATAATCTCATGCATTAAACATACAAATTAGGTCACATTCATTGTCATTTTATGTTTTTTTGTTTAAGTTATTTAAACCAAACCAAAACAAAAACGAAGAAACTCCCTAAAGGTGGATTTCATTTTGCTGGCAATTTCCAAAATGAACATGATTAGTATAAATATGCACCATTTTACTTCACCATTTTTTTTTCATTTACCCCAGTGCCGCAAAGGCTCCCACCTACGGTGGGGTAAGGGGGGTCGGATGTACGCAGTCTTACCCCTATACTAAAGCACAGAGAGACTGTTTCCGGATGACCCATAGTGAAAATCGCGTCCAAAATTGCATGGACTGACTGCTGCTTCATTACAAAGAAGCGCAGACAGTTTAGTCCAAAATTGCATGGACTCACCATTTTACTTCACCATGCAACTAATATTAAACTCCCTCTAAACATGTTTCTTTCCTTAAAAAAATAGTCACATGCTAAAACAAATCCACAACCTAGTCACATCCAAGTCATATACTCCGTAAGTCCGTATGATAAACTTAGTTAAATAAAAAATAAACTGCTATAATATAAGTATATTTTTTCAGAAATGAGTTAGTACCGTAGTATACATTTAAAATCGTGAAATAAAACCATAAAATGGCACTAATGCTGAAGCCCTTAATAAATAGCATTAAACCTCAACAAGAGAAAGTGACACATAGATTCTGAGGAACTTGGCCATACCACATTATAATGAAGGGAAAATTCCACAAATAGTAGCAAATCATAGCACATTGCTACAAAATAGACTGTCATTAGGTCTTGTAATTCACTCCTATTACAAGACTTATGAACTACATTTATATTAAGGACTGAATGATTCTATTTTGTTTAGCATTAAACAGAGAGAGTCACATTGGTGTCTGCGTATGAACCATGTTTTACTTCTATTTGAACTAGTTTCTATACAATGAAATGGCCAACAATTTTTTAGACAATAAGTTGACCCTCCAAGCTAAAAAAAGCCTCCCTTTAAGAGGTTAAAAAGACCACTCTACTATTCAAGCAATATAATCATATACTTATTCAAGTGCACCAAAACTGAAGTGCATACAAATAGTTTCTCCCCCATCGTGAATTTCAAAATATCACAGAAATTATCGAATAAAATATATTCTCAATTAAGTCACCTTTCTGCCAAGCACCTAGTTACATCATATGTGTCATCTGATGTATCAGCACCCCTGATGATCTCAACCAGTTTCATAAGTGGAGGAGGATTCATAAAATGCATGCCAATCACCTACACAGAAGAAATGTAACAGCTAAAAATGTAAATTGATGGCCAGTACAGAAATTAGGTATCTGCACAACACATGAATGGAAGTGGTGTGAGGACTGAGTAACAATGTATTAGCAAGGGATTGGGCAACCCAGGCCCTGACCTACCTTTAATTTGGTTAAAAAGAATTTGTTTTTTTCTCTAAATTGTTTACTAAAAAAAACTTATACGAATATCCCCCCCCCCGGCCTACCCCTTCTGAGGAGTATCTCATGTTTAACACTTGAACTCAACTCTCTGCAGGCAAAGTTATCTATTCTGTGTATAGGAATTGCACAGAATAAAAAGAAGAAAAAAAAAGGAATTGCACAAAAAATGCACAGGCACTGGAATTATTTAATGAAACAGACCAGTAGAACAACAATCAAATAATCGACCGATAGTGAAACACTCTAATAGATAAGAGATTATTGTGCATAGCCCAGCATGTTTGACATTTATAAAATAATTATAATTTACGAGATTGTGGATTGTCAAGCCTACCTGTTTCGGTCGGCTAGTTGCTGATGCCAAACGAGTTATGGAAATAGAGCTAGTGTTAGAAGCCAAGATTGCAGAGTTCTTCACAATCTTGTCCAAGTCCACAAACAATTTTTTCTTCACGTCTTCAGATTCCATGATAGCCTCAATAACAATATCCACTGATTGAAAATCTTTCAAATCCAGTGAGCCTTTTAGACGTGTGATAGCATCATCACCTGTTTCCTATCCAAGGGGATGCCAAAACATAGTTCATAGCATATGAAGGAACCAAATTCCACTAATATTACATCCAACAACACACTAAAGTAAGCACATAGGATTCAAAACCATAAAAACATATACATAAACTTTTCTCTTAAATGTCATCTGAGGTCGGGGGTCACAATCTATATACTATCCTCCCTTCTTTAATTCTTGCAACAGTTTGACTTTCACGTTTGACAACGCACAACTTTGACTGTAGTTCTATTTAATTATGTATTAGTAAACATTATAAAAATTTGATATTTTGGAAATTCATATTGATAGGAATTTAATAACATTTTATACATAATAATTTGATTATGTATATTAGTAGAAAAACATTGTCAAAGTAAGGTCTTTGAATAGTGCAAAAATCACAATGTTTCAAGAATTAAAGAACGGAGGAAGTATTTACAAATAATTAATTGAATTTATAATCTTTAATAGTTAGGTTAGGTGACAGAATTGTTACAGAGTTGTTAGAACAGCTTCTGCTTTTTCCTGTCTATAAATTGCGCATTTGCGCATCTCTCTTCTCCAATATACACAATTTTCTCTCTCTGCGACACACACACACACACAATCTATCGTTACACACTAGGAATTGGATAAAAAATCAATTGTAAGTTCACCTGAGAAAGTTGACCTTTGGAGACGAGGCGTTGAATGTTACTGGAGATTGATTTATGGGCTCTTTTAACTGCTTCTACTTCGGTATCGTAAAGGTATACATCAACGCCGTGCACGGCAGCGAGTTGGGCGATACCAGAGCCCATTTGGCCTGCACCTACAACTCCGATGCTGCTGATCGTAGCCATAGTCTATACCTCACGAATAATGATAAACGTCCTTGGTACAAATTAAATATCTCATTAGAATTAATAAATTGCATTGGCTTATGACTAAAATGTTTTTACTTGGATTCTAATTCGTCCCAGACCATACCAGATCAGAGCAGATCAGTTCAGACCAGACTAGACCAGACTTGGATACTTATAAAAATACAAAGAAATCAGATCAGACCAGACCAGTTCAGACCAGATCAGACCAGACCAGACCAGACCAGACCAGCAAATTACAGTCCAAGTAAAAACATCCTAATTCGCTATTACTACAAGGACATATTGCGTACAGAGTAATATACTTCATCCGTGGTATATATTTTGTTCTTCAATTTTTACAATATTGCGATTTTTGCATTATTTACAGATATTACGTTGACCACGATTTTCTACTAATATACATGATCAAATTATTACGTATAAAATGTTATTGAATTTCTATGTGAATTTCTATGTGAATTTCTAAAATACCAACATTTTATAATGTTTACTAATACATAACTAAACATAATTACAGTCCCAATTCTGTCTAGTGATGAAACCTCTTTTGAGGACCCCCGAATGAAAATTTCTTCTGTTTCAGGTCACGAAGATAATAATACAATCCATGAAGGATATCTTGAAGGTTTTACACAGGTTCAAATAAGAAGATGCAAAACTATTTCAATGAACCCACCAAACCAAGTCACTGAAGACGAACAACTATACTATGAGGTGGGATACTCATCTCATCTCATGATCACCAGAAGCCAATCAAAAAGACCGCATAATGAATCAGACTACTTTCTCTACCCTGTTGACGACAGGGTCGACTCACCACATAAACTAGCAACAGCTCTCTAGCGCTTCAGGTTATTTCTTCCGGAGGAAACAACATTCAGGCCTTACCTTAAGAGGGCCATCAGGTTCCATAACAAATACAACAGATCGATTTCAGCTTCAATTGGGAGCCCTCAAAATAATTTCAATTGTTGATGTACCTTTTTCTATCTCTTCCTTTGTATTGTACTTCTTGTTCACCATTTGGATTCTCAACCATTGTAATCAAACTTTATTTTAATAAATTAGGGAGGTGTTCCCCGACACTCCGCCACCTCGTGTGGCTTTAACCGGGAAAAAAACATAATTACAGGCAAACTGTTGCAAGAATTAAAAAACGAAGGATAGTATAATGGATTATGATTATAGGGCCTGTTTGTAGTTTACACATTAAAACTTGTGGAAATCACCCGGATGATCTAGTTTTGTGCTCCACGTATCGTTTATGTGCCACCTACTTCTTCTTTTCATTTTAATCTTTTTTAATTTCAATCATGTTTTTTTATTTCAATTTTAGATTGATTTCAAACCAAGAGACGCAAGGTGGAAGGTGGAATTTGGTTTGAAATCAATCATTTTAGATTGGTTTTTTTAATTAGGTTTGAAATCAATCTAAAATTGAAATAAAAAAACATGATTGAAATTAAAAAAGATTAAAATGAAAAGAAGAAGTAGGTGGCACATAAACGATACGTGGAGCACAAAACTAGATCATCCGGGTGATTTCCACAAGTTTTAATGTGTAAACTACAAACAGGCCCTATAACTGGTGATACCCCGACCTCAAATCAATCTTCAAGAATACTATTGCCCCTCGAAGTTGATCAAACAAGTCGTCAATTCTAGGTAAAGGATACCTGTTCTTGATTGTGACCTTATTCAACTGTCGGTAGTCAATACACATTCTTAGTGTACCATCTTTCTTCTTCACAAAAAGTACTGGTGCTCCCCACGGTGAATGAAAAGATCTAATGAACCCACTGTCTAATAGTTCTTGCAATAGTTCTTGCAATTGGACTTTCAACTCTTGAAGTTCTGTCGGCGCCATTTGATAAGGAGGAATCGAAATGGGTTTTGTTCCCGACTCTACTTCAATCACAAATTCAATCTCTCTATCGGGTGGAAGCCCCGGTAAGTCTTTGGGGAAGACGTCCGGATACTTACACATGACCCGTACATCGTTGATGTCGACCTCCTTCTTTGTCCCATCTACTACGTAAGCAAGGTACGTGTGGAAACCTTTCCTCATCATCTTCCGTGCTCTCATCACGGATATGATGCAACTTTGAGATCTTCCTTGACCCCCCTCGAAAAGTATGGTGTTTCCTTCATCATCCTCGAGTTCTAAGACCTTGGTGTAACAATCAACTCGAGCATGATGCTTCTCGAGCGAGTCCATTCCTAGGATTGCATCGAACTCCAACATGCTTAGAGGTACGAAATCACAAGTCAAAGGTTGACCCGTCACTTCCACCTCACATGATGGATAGTAATGATTCGTCTCCTAACGATGTGGAGACTAGCAATGTTTACGTCATACGCATCAATGGCACGTCAAGACCCTCGGCGAACGCCTCACTCACAAATGAGCGTTGTGCCCCGGTATCGACGAGGATCCTCGCACTCCTACCGTTGATCTTTAATGTTCCTACATTTATACGCCATGTAAGATACACCTTCTAATGTTTTTGGACCCATTTTTGGAGGTTATTACATTTACATTAATGTTTGGAATCAAACGGAGGTCCAATCGTAGAAGAACGGATGGTCGTGCATGGTCGTGCGTGGGGAACACACGGATGTTCTACGCTCCTCGGTTGAACTCCGGCGAAACTCCGGTGAAACTCCGATGAACTCCGGAGAACTATAGAAACTCTTTAGTTAAGCTCCTAACATGGTTTTATCATCACAAAACTCATATCAATACAAATAACCTCTAAAAGGTTATTTTTCAGCGAACCGGTCGTTTTGGCCTCTAATTCTGTTCTTGGACTTAGAACCAACTTCCAACCCCTCATTCTACCTTTCTAAACATGTAGAACAAGACTAGGGGCTTCTCATATGCTAAGCTAGACATATCATAAATAAAAGATAGAAGAAATGCCATTAAAGAGCTTCTCACCTTTATTATCAAGGTTTTTCTCTAATTTGCAACCCTTTTTTCCTTCCCCCTTAAGCTCCTTGCTTGCTTGAGCTCTCTTGGCTATGAAGTATGAAACTGCAGAGCTTCCTCTCTCTCTCCCCTTGGTGCTGGACGAAAATTTAGGTGAGGAAGGGATGGGGTGGGCTTCTCTTTTGTCTCTTTGAGCAATGAGTGAAAGTAAAGAGGTCCACCTCCAGTGGAGGAGCTAGGGGGGCAGGGGGGGGGGGGGGGCAAGCGCCCCCGCTCCGACTAATTTTTTTACTAGTATTACTTATAATATGTTTCTTGCCCCGGCTTCTTTTTAAATTTTAAAAACAATAAGTACAACTTAAGGTTATTTTAAGATGAAGTGTTAAAATAAATAAAAAAGTGTTTTCAGAAAAAGTAAAAAAAATGAAATATAGAATAAAAGGGGATTAATGAGTCAATGAGACAAATGAGCATCTAGTCTAAGGCTAAGTAAAAAAAAACGGGCATAAGTAGAAAAATGAAAAAAAAAACACAATTCTAAAGCCCAAGCCACCTAGACAATCCTAAAGCCTAAGCCCAAAAATGAAAAAAATAACAATTCAAAACGTAATCACTAAAGTCTAAAGCCATTAAGTGAGTTAAAAATTCAAAGCTTCATTAACAAAAGACCTAGGCAGTCGGCAGTCCCTTCCCACTCCGCCAAAAAAAATGAATCGAGCAGTTGAGAACGCAGGCAGGCAGCGAACGTGAGAACTTTAGCACGACCGGGAGCTACTCGATGGGGTTCACATTTTACAACCATTATTCGTATTCTATCTTTGTGGTCTCCAACAATCCAAGTGCTTGACAATATATTTGATGATGGAATTGATTCGAAATCAAGGGGCAAAGCTAGTAGTTTGGTTGAAAAAATGGAGAGCTATCAATTTGTTTTTATAGCCCACTTGATGAAGAAGGTATTGGGATTGACGAATATGTTGTCACATTTCTTGCAACAAAAAGATCAGAACATTCTTGAGGCTGTGAGCTTGATTAAAAGCACTAAAGAGAAGTTCCAAGATTTGAGAGAAAGTGGATGGGAAGAGCTATTAGAAGATGTCAGTAAATTTTGTGTGAAGAATAAAGGTGACATTCTAAACATGGAAGATACAACTCATCGTTCTAGACGCGTTCGCCATCCGGTAACAAATTATCATCACTTTCGAGCTGATATTTTTTATCAGGTATTTTTTATTAAAATTTAAATTATTCATTAGTTGTTGTTATTATTATTATCATTATTATTATTACTATTACTACTACTTTTTATTATTACCTTATTGTAGGTTATAGACCAGGTCAATCTGGAAATGGAGAATCGCTTTAGTGAGTCAAATACAGATTTACTCTCTTGTTTAGCTTGCCTTGATCCTAAAGATAAATTTTCCAATTTCTGTGAGTCAAAGCTACTCAGTCTTGCGGAGTTATATTCATCTAATTTTTCAGCTGTTGAGCAAATGGAGCTTAAAGAACAACATCAAGTTTGGATATATGAGATGAGAGGAAATGAAGCATTTTCCACTTTACAAAGTATTGGTGAGGTGTCTAAGAAGATGGTTGAGCTTACAATTCACAAATCTTTTCACTTGGTCTATCGTCTTATTGAGTTGGCTCTAGTGTTACCAGTTGCAACAGCCACAGTTGAAAGAGCTTTCTCAGCGATGAATATTATCAAGACAGATCTTCGCAATAAGATGGGAGATGACTATCTTACGGATTGCTTAGTATGTTACATCGAAAGAGACATTTTTCAAGCAATTGATAATGAAGCTATTATGCCGCATTTTCAAATTATGAAAACTCGTAGGATTGATTTGCCTAGGTTGCCGAAGTAAATCAAGTAG